GGGGGGGGCAGGGGAGGCAGGCCAGAGAGCAGGCAGTGGCAGGTGGGGAGGGTCAGGCAGGGGAGCAGGCAGGAATGACAGGCCAGAGAGCAGGTTTGGGGCAGGCAGGGGAGACAGGCAGTGGGCAGACACCCAGGCACCTCCCAGACTTGTCCACACATGCATGGCCCCGGCCTGTCCTGCTGCTTGCACTCCCAAGACCTCCCTCTCCCTGGATAGGCAGCTGAATCATTGCAAGGCTTCTTCCCGATCTTTGATTACCGGTTTGAAGTCCACACACGAGGCCTGGGAGATACTGACTTTCCCTCTGTGAAGATGTGGAAGCAGGACTTGCCCGCCCTTGCTCTGCCCAGCACTGCTCGTCCTTCAGTCCACACCTTGGCTTCCTATCCACCCTCCTGGGATGTTCCCTGGGATCTCAGAGAAAGGGCAGGCGCCTCCTCAGACCCCAGGGAGGACAGAAACGTCTGAGGCCCAGGCTTGGCCCCTTGAGGAAGAACATGTGTGGACGGAAGCAGCCCTGCCATGGGGCCACCACTCAGAACCAACAGAATTTGGAGAAACACGAGGAAACGATCGCCTCCCAGAAGAGAGCTGGGCTCAGCCAGGAATGGCTGCAGGGTTTGGTGAGGGAAGTGTCACATGGAACTGGCTGCCCCTGCCGGGCTCCCACAAGATTCTGAGCCTGCACACAACCCCCTCCCCGCCCCCGCTGCCCTCAGTAAACATGACTCCTGGACCGATGGTGGGAGGGATGAACGGCCTCAGTTGGCCTGCCTGAGCCTGAGGGCAGCAAGAAAGCCACCCTGGGCTGAGGGCCTCCTGTGGCTCCCAGGCCTGCCAGGTGGAGAGGGGCTGCAAGGTGTCCTGGGCCAGAGGAACCAGGCGCACCACCCCCTCGCCATGAACGCATGAGCATGGTCAGAAGAGCACTGTTCTTGGAGCCAGACTTGAGCCCTGGCTGCGCTTCTACCCACCTCTGTGACTGTGCATGCCTCTGCCTCCAATACTGCTCCCGCACCGCAGCCCCAAAAAGACAGACTGCTGATGCCCAGCCCTCCTGCTCCTGGAGGTGAAGGAGGGAGCACTCCCTGGAGGCAGCAGTGCCAAGCTCCTGCAGCTCCGCCCAGAGCAGGGACACCCTGGCTCCTCATGGAATGCCAAGGGCAGAGACACAGCTCTGAAGACCAAAGCAGAGCTCTCCAGCTGTGGTGACTAGCAGGTGAAAACCAGCTGATCTTGGGACCATGGTACTGGAAGGGTTGGTGACGGCGCAGGATGGAAGCGTGCCCTCCAGACACTGAAGCCAAAGTCAGCGTACAAACCGTGACTTGTTCTGGGGGTTAGGGGGAGCTCATCAAACTTCTAAAGGGGCCCTCTTTCCCCACAAGTCACACACGCATGGACACGGTTTGTGTGTAAACCACACAACTCTCCATGCCAAGAAAGCTGTAGGAAAGGACCCTCGTCCTAACGGGACGCCCTGCTGCTGGGCTCCACAGACCCCGTGGTTGGTCCCCCTCCTGGCCACCCCCTGGCTGCCCCCACTCCCTCTGTGCTGGGACTCACAGCCATTGGACTGTTTTCTCAAAGCTGAGGCTGAAGCCAGATTGGAAGAGAGGGCAGCCGGCCACGGTCGCCCCACAGCACCTGGAATGGCTGCACCTGTGGCGGGCCGGAGTGGGTGCTACAGGCCTCCCTCCTGGGCACAGTGGCTACTTTCTGCATGTAGCTCAGTTTCACAGGCTATTAATCCCCTCTTGTGCACTGGGCTTGCTGAGAACGGAATTATTTCAATATACAATAAAAGCTGTTTTTATTTTATCACCATCATTCTTATTGCTTCAAAGAAAGACAAAGCCAGCGTATTAAGCAACTCCTGGGAAAACCTAAACCCAGGTCTCAATCCCTGAATACAAAGTGGCTGAAAGCAGCGCTGATTCCAAAGATCGGAAGACAATGGCTGGCCAGGACCGCGCACGCCTCTTTTTGCTAAAATGTCACCTGCGCTCCTTTTTCTTATTAATTTCATTTCTTATCTTCAGCCCAAGGTAATTTAAAACGATGAAATCTTGACTCCAGTCTCAGCACTGAGTCACCTTCACTCCTTCTTTAGGAAAAGAACAGCATCTCTCTGGGAATAAATGTCATTTCCCCCGGGGGCCTCCTGATCACCTGAGCCAAGGCCTGGCCCAAGCCAGGCCTTTGGATCCTACCTTGACTCGGTCAGGGGCCATTGTGGGTGAGCTAACCCCTTGGGCCTCTGCAGGAGGGACTGGAAACCAAAGCACTAGGAAGTCTTCAGAGATTCTGCCACATTCTTGCAAAAACTCCAGGTCGCCCTCACAGTGCCACCTAATGACATTTTCTGGAAATGTCTGTTGGTTTCAGCAACTTTGGACACATGCTCAATGATGGTGGCTTGACATCCTATTTGTTGGGGCAGGAGCAAGGTCTCCAGGGAAAAGACCAGCTCCACTTTGTAGGTGCCCAAGAAGGCAGAGACAACAGAAACAGTGCTAACAGCACTAACACCACACGGGCTCCACGAGCAGGCGCTGTTCGAGGCACATTACGTGGCCTAGCTCGCCGAACCTCAGAAACCACGGACAGCATGCTGCCATGGCTGTCCCCAGCTCACAGACGGGGTGACTGAGGCACCGAGCGGTCGTGAGGGCGCTACTGAATGGGGCGTGAGTGGTTCCAGGGACCCATGCAATCTGCCTTGGGTCTGCATCTGTCCACTGACAGCCCTTGGCCTGCTGCCTCCCTCAGACAACCACCCTCCCTCGTCTGAGCCCTCAGGCAGCCCGTCCTCGAGGAGGTTCCCAAGGTGCTCGGTTTGCTAAGCCCAGGGAGAGCTCATTTGGCCAAGATGATGGAAACACTCCCATTCCGCCTGCGAGGGCCCAGACGGGGTTCCGAGCCACAGCACGGGCCGCCCCGTGACACCCAGGGTGTGTACAAGCCCGGCATCACAGCAGGTGGCCAGGACAGCCCCCACGGTTTGTCAGGCACCTCTGGACTAGCGTCCTCTTCCAGAGAAGGGAATCCTTGCCAGCTGCCCCCCCGCCACCTCCCGCCATTCCCCCAGGGATGTTCCCGTCTCGCAGTGCCTTTCAGGGGATCTGGGTTCTAGACACCCTTGGTGTGTTCCTCGCATCTTACCCAAGAGACAGCAGGGTAGGGACTGAGTCACTCCCTTTTGTTTACGTCCCCTGATAAGTAATTCCCTGACGCCGAGTGCACGGTCAGTGTCCAAGGAACAGGCCTTGGCAGGTTGGGCAAGGAAGACCATCCCCTGCTACCGTCACCGAGAGGCAGCCTTACCTGTTTGTCTGGCAGACCCCATGGTAGGCCTCAATGGCGTCCTCCTGGTCCACGTGCTTTTCGCTGTTGGGCCAACTTGTTCTGGCATTAATGTTTGGCTCCTGGAAGGCCCCAGATTGAGAAATAATTTGGTCACACAAACAGTTGCTGCAAATGACCCAACATACAGGTGTAAAAACACGCTTCTGGGAAAAGAGAAAGGCCTGGGAAGAACTCAGGTAACTGCAGTTTGACCCAGGCAGGACTAGTCACTTTGGAAGAGAGACAGAGCGACAAGGCTGGGCTGTGAGAGACCCGGGTGCAGAGCCGGGGGGAAGACCAAGCATGGCGTCCCTGGAGGAGAAGGCATTGAATGCAGAGGCCATGGCCACCGCCTGGTCCAGCACACCCGTTCCCGTCTACCCACCCCTGCGCTGCAGGGCCCATGCCTGAAGTGGCCTAGGCTCTTGGAGCCCACGGAGTGGCCCACGGCCCCCCTCCCACACTCCAGTCTGTTCCAGGAGGTGAGGATGTCAGGAGGGAAAAACAAGCGGGGCTGGCTGCCCTGGAAGGACGCAGAGAGGACGACTCCGCTCCAGACACAAACAGCAAGGGTGTGCGGGGCAGACAAGACCACGCGCGGTGACCTCCTGAGTGTCTTCACGGCAACCTCGGGAGTGTCTGGAAATGTCCCGCTCAGCCTCAGCAAGAGCCACGCCCGGCCTTGAGAGGCGCCCCCAGGGCACAGCGCCCTGCCCTCTCGGGCCGGAAACCCTCTGGGCAAAGACGCGTGGGCACACCGCCCTACCGTGCTCGGGCCGGCGAGCCGGCGCTGCTCGGCGCTGACGATCTGGGTCCTGAGGAGGAGCACCTCCTCCTTGCGCACCTCGAGCTCCTCGCTGGCCAGCCTGAGCTGACTCAGCAGGAGCCCGTAGCCGTCGTGGGAGCCGTGGCCGGGGCTGCTCTGTGCGGCCTGGGCGGCCACGGCCTTCCTCAGCTCGTTCAGGTCGTTCTTCAGCTTCTTGTTCTCTGACTCTAGCTCCTGCCTCTGGAAGAGCCCGAGGACGCGCTCGTCACTCGCTGGGTCCAGGCGCCCCGACTGCATGGCCCCCTCCCCTCCCCAGGCCGCCTGCCCTGTCCACCGGAGAGGCTGCGAGCAGCCTGCCCATTAAAAACAAACTTAGAGAGGGGGGTCTCGCTCCCTCACCCAGGCTGGAGTGCAGCGGCACAATTACAGCCCACCGCAGGCTCAGCCTCCTGGGCTTAAGTGGGCCTCCCGCCTCTGGCTCCTGAGTAGCTGGGACGACAGGCCACCACCACACCTGGCTTTGGCCTTCCCATGTAGACACAAAGCATGGTGAAAGTTCGAAGTGGCATCATCAAGCAGTCAGAGCTGGGCCTGCATTTGAACTCACGCCCTGAGCTGCAGGTGTGAGCACCAGATGCGACACCTCTGGAGGCAGTTCTCTGTATGACCAACACTGCACCACAGCTTTATAATTCAAAATATTTTGTGCCAGGAAAACGGGTCCATGTTCCACCCAAGAGTTGTGGAACAGGCTCTCCTACAAATCTAGCACTGGAAACAGTAACAGATACAGTTTTCTTTCTTAGAATTCTGAGGCATTTTAATGGAATACTTATAAATAGTATAAGTCTCTCAAAAAAAAAAAAAGCCTAGTTTCATCACAGAGTTATTTATTATAGTAAAGCACAAGAACAATTAGTATGTTCTGCAATTAGAGAAAGGTAATGTTAACCAACCACGAAAAATCATGTTTGCAAAGAGACTGTTGTGTGGACCAATTCTTATGTTAAATGAAAAAAGCAGAATATAAAGTTTTTAACAGCTATGTAAATAATATGCATATAAAAATATTAGAAAGAAATACCCAAGTAATATCAAAGACTGCCTCTAAGTGGCAGGAATGTGGATTTTCTTTCTTTCTTTCTTTTTTTTTTTTTTTGAGTTGGAGTCTCACTCTGTCACCCAGACTGGAGTGCAGTGGCCGCTCCCAGCCACCACAGCCTCGACCTGCTGGGCTCCGGAGATCCTTTCGCCTCAGCCTTCCAAGTAGCTGGAACTACAGGCACGTGCTACCACACCCGGCTAGTATTTTTTTTATTTATTGTAGAGATGAGGTCTCGCCAAGTTGCCCAGGCGGGTCTTGAACCCGCGGGCTCAGGCAATCCACTCACCTCGGCCTCCCAAAGCACGGGATTATAGGCTGAGCCACCGAGCCCAGCCGGAATGTGGATTTTCAAAGATTCTCTAACTTTTTCTGTATTTTAAATTATTCCAAGATGACCGGAATGACTTGGGTAAATTTACAAATAAAATGAAAACTTCCTATATAAAGGGCACATTAAGAAAAAAAACAAGTCACTGAAAGGACCTTCTCAATTGGGTCTTTTCTATTTCACGCTCAGTGTCACGTAAGTCCGCATTTATGGTCAGTTAAGATAGCAAATGTCCAAGTGCCAGCTTGGACCCTCAGCGCCCTGTTTCTCTGGCACAAGCTCTGAGTCGCGGGCACCCTTCTCTTGATCTGAATCCCATTCTGGCTGACAGCAGGTAGATAAGAAAAAGCCAACGCCGCTGCTGGCCATGGCCAGGTCTATGTTCTGTTCAGAAAGCCCCCTGGTTGGTGATGGTCATGGCTTCTTTGGGTCACCTGGCCTGTCCCTCCGCTGTGCTGGATGCCAGGGAATGGTCAGCTGCCCCCTTGCTGACCCCAGAGTGATTCCTCCCACCCCTACCATCTTCGCCACTCACTCACCTCCACCTTCTCACCCGGCCAAGGCCAATGGCCACTCCAGGGAGACCCCTTTCCCAGCCCATCTCTCCTGTGGCTGCTGCTCTAAAGGAGTGACTGGCCCCAAGGACCCTTCGCCTGACCTCACTCCAGCCAGTGGACACCTGAGCCTTGTGCATGGCATGCAGACAATGCGCTTCTGCCCCGAGCTAGGGCTACTCTAGGGGTTCCAGAAGGATAGGGGACATTCCTAAATTTCTGGCAGGTGGATCCAGAGTTGAGCAAAAATCACTTGTCAAGGGGATCCTCCCAGCATAGCTTTTCACTGACCTATGCACCTGTGGGCAAGCTTTCCAAATCCAACTGGGTGGGGCTCAAGCTGGAAGAAACACCTGAGTAGTCAGGTGAGCTGACACATCACCTGTTTCAGAGCTGGGTCCTAGCTGCTCAGGCAGAGTCTATGGTTTTGAGGAGGGAGGTACTTCCCACCCTTAGTACTGCAAGCATTCAGAGGGCTGTGCATAGCTGGGGTTCACTAAACGTATGCTGAGTGAGTTTTGCCTACAAGACCCATTTCCTTTTTATAAAAAATCACCTGAGAAACCGGAGAGGCTAGGAGTAAGGGGGTACCGTGTCTAAGAAAACTCTTAATGTGCAGCTTTGTTTTGCCCTCAGGTACTGTTACCAGTAATGTGCTTGTTTTAAAGATCCAGTACTTGCCTGGAGCACAAGAATGATTTGAGGGAAATAAAGTAAGCTACGCTTTCTGCTTAATTCCAGCTGGAGTTAAAGGTCGGAGGAAAAAACAAGGTGCATGTAAATGGAGTCATAAGAGTTGGAGACTCAGAAGATTTTCCAAGTCCTCTCTCATACAACCTAACTATTTCATTTACCATACTGTTCCCTTTTAGTCTTCCCAATAAAGCTTTTAAAAAAAATTAAGTGGTCCTCTGGTCCCTGAAGGTCTTGGCTGGGCCTGGTTCAGTGGCCTCCCCAACGCTGGCCCTCCCTCACAGTGGGTGGGTCTAACCCCAGGGTCCCCAGGAGCAGCCTCTGTGACACAGACCAAGATGAGGTCCAGTTTTATCAGAGACAGTGATGGGAAAGCTGGGTCTGTACCCTAAGAATCCTCCTGGGCTGATGGCAGCTGAGTGGAGGTGTTTAGAGCTGTGACATTCTGGACGTGTATTTACTGAGCCCGCTCTGTGTCAGGCTCCACACAGGCAGCAGAGGTGACACCCACGGAAGCACAGAAGGGCATCTTGTTCGTGCACGGCTGAGTTGGGGTAGTTTTTGCGTGATTTGAAAGCAGGAGTCTGGGAGGAAGTGCTCTGCGGATAGAGTCGAACCATGGTTAGCCAACTTGGGAGGGGCAATAGAATGACTGCAGGGCTTGTTAAAACACAGAGGGCCAGACCCACGCCAGGCTCCTGATCCAGTGGCCTGGGTGGGGGCCTGAGAATGTGCACTTCCAGCAAGCTCTTAGGGATGCTGATGCTGCGGGCTCCAGACCTGCTCCCAGAGGACAACTGGGCTACAGCTCTTGTCCGTTCTAAGAGGACGGGTGGGATGGACACGCCAAAAGTGCTCACGAGTTCACACGCTCCTTCTTACCCCCTGGGGCGAAGCCTCCCTCAGGAAGGCACGCAGAGACCTGCACACAGTCCCTCTGCCACAGGCACTGATCACATGAAGAGACTGCTAGTCTTCCTGGAGAGTTTTAAATGGTTAAAATACCACATGAGGAAAATAGGTCTAGTCAGTAACTCCAGAAGGAAACCCCTATAAAACACCCTTTCTTATACCATTTGCATGGCCCTGGCAGTTTAAAAAGCCAAATGGTGCTGGGATACTGGATAGTCACATGCAAAAGAATTCAGCTGAACCCTAGCCTCATATCGTATACACAAATCAACTCAAAATGGATCAAAGGCCTAAATGTAAGACCTAAAACTATAAAACTCTTAGACGAAAACATAGGGCAAAAGCTTCATGACATTGGATTTGGCAGTGATTTCTTAGACCAGACACCAAAGGCATAGGAAACAAAAAGAAAAACCAGACAAATCAAACTTCACGAAAATTTAAAAATGTTGTGCACCAAAGACACAACCAACAGAGCAAAAAGACAACCCACAGAATGGGAGAAAACATTTGCAAATCATATGTTTGTTAAGGCAGTGGTCCCCAACCTTTTTGGGATTGGTTTCATGGAAGACAATTTTCCCACAGACTGGAGATGGTTTGGGGATGATTCAAGTGCATTACATTTATCATGCACTTTATTATTATTATTATACTGTAATACATTATGAAATACACAATGAAATGTATGTTTATATAGAATAATGAAATGTAAATATATAATATATAATGTAAATAAATATATTTAAAACAAACAATGAAACGTGTAATATATAATGAAATAATTACATATAATTGTACAACAGAATTACATATATATTATAAATAACTATTCATAATTATTCAATAATTATGCCACCATATGTAGCTGTACATTTGAAGTACATCAACTCACTTGCCACTCACCAATAGTTTTGATATGAGTATGCAAGCAAGTGATTTATGATGGCCTCTGTGTCATCACACTCACTGCTCATGTTCATCTGTATTTGTTGCAACTCCCCGGCGCTAGCATCACCGCCTCCACTCCACCTCAGACCATCAGGCATTAGATCCTCAATAAGGAGCGTGCAGCCTAGATCCCTCGCATATGCAGTTCACGGTAGGCGCCATATGAGAATCTAATGCCGCTGCCCATCCGAACAGGAGGCAGAGCTCAGGTGGTAATGTCAGCAATGGGGAGTGGCCGCAAATACAGATGAAGCTTGGCTCACTCACCCGCCACTCACCTCCTGCTGTGCAGCCCAGTTCCTAACTGGCCATGGACTGGTACTGGTCCACAGCCCAGGGGTTGGGGGGCCTCCTGTGATAAGGGACTATCTTCCAGAATATGTAGTGAACTCCTAAAACTCAACAACAAAAACCCAAACTAATCCAAATGAGGGTAGAGGACTGAACGGACATTTCCTCAAAGATATGCAAATGGACAACGAGCACATGAAAAGATACCCAGTATCAAATCATTAGGGAAATATAAATGAAAACTACAATGAGAGATCACCTTATACCCACTAAAATAGCTACTATTAAAAAAAAAAAAAACAACAGAAAATAGTAAGTGTTGACAAAGATGTAGAGAAATCAAAACCCCTGGTGGTAATGTAAAATGGTACAGCTGCTGTGAAAAGCAGTGGAACAGTCCTTAAAAACAATTAAAAATAGGATTACCACATGATCTGGCGATTCCACTTCTGGGTAAATACTCAAAAGAACTGGCTACAACATGGAAGCAACCCAAATGTCCAACAATGAATGAATACATAAGCAAAATATGGAATATATGCATAATAGAACATTATTCAGTCTTGAAAAAGAAGGAAATTCTGACACAGGCTACAACATGGATGAGCCCTGAGGACACGATGTTAAGTGGAATAAGCCAGACACAAAAACACAGATACGGCATGACTCCACCCATATGAGGAGACTGGAGTTGTCCAAATCACAGAGACAGAAGGTAGAATGGTGGCTGCTGGGGCTAGGGGAGGAGGGACGGGGGAGTGATTGGTCAACAGGTGCAGAGTTTCAGTGTCCCAAGACGAAGCACTACGGAAGTGCACCGTGGTGATGACTGTGTAACATTATGAATGCATTCAGGACCCCCGAAACATACACTCACAAATGGGTTAAGATGGTGTATTTCATGTTACGTGCTTTTGCCATGCTAAAACAAACAGGAAAAGACCATGGGAATGATGACGGAGGTTCTCCTGGACAACGCAGCCATTCCCAGAGCTCCCTGCAGCCCTCCGAGTGACTGGCAGACCAGACACATTCCCCTTCACCAAGTCTCTGAGAAGGGGAGTGCGGTGGGCTGGCATGATGTCTCTCCTCTCTGCTCTAGGGTGCTTACCCTCAGACCCTGGGCCACTGCAATCCCCATGCCATCCCCCGAGGCCAGCGGCACTTGCACTGACAGTCCCTGCCTTACACTGTGCTAGCCCTGAGGTCTTACAGTGATTTTTCTCTGGGCCACAGTTTTTTTTTTTAGCTGAAACCGTATCATGTAGGCATTTATCATCATTCCTGTAGTAAACACGCATTTTCCCCCATTTCACACGTAAAGCAGCTGACGGTGGAAAGGGAGGTTTTTGCCCAGGGCTCTGCTGCCTCGCTGACTTGCTCAGGTGCTGGTCTCCAGACACCAGCTTTGCTGTCGGCACTCCACCACCTGGGGAAGCATGTCCCCAGGGAACTTACCTTCAGACTGTTGTAGGCCAGATCTGCATCCGGGCCCAAATCTATGACAGTCTGCGGCTGTTCCGCCTGCATGGATAGAGACAGGAAGGTGAGCACAGCCACAGGCAATGCCCCACAGACGTATGCCCCAGTTTGCCAAGCTTGCCAGCTCCACCCACAGGTGCACACCCAGCACCTCCACCTTCCACAAGCCCACTTCCTTTCCACTGCAAGGTGTAGCTCAACCCTTCAGCCTACCATGAGGTGTATCACAGACACCCCACCCCTCCCGCCTCACCCCTAACCTTGCAGCTTCGCACGCGTGATCCCTGCAGGCCCCCTACAGGTAGCACGTGTGACACCGGGTTATGGGTTCAGTCGAGTCCCTCAAAAGAGAGGTGGAAGTCCTAACCCCTGGCACCTGCGAACGTGACCTTAGTTGGAAATAGGATCTTTGCAGACGTAATCAAGATAAGGTCGCTGGGGTGAGCCCTAACCCAACAGGACCGGTGCCCTCCTGAGAAGAGAGACACACACAGGGAGGGTGGTCGTGTGAAGATGGGCCTTGCAGCTGTGTGTCCAGGGACTGCAGGACTGCCAGCCAGCACCGCCAGAGGCTAAGAAAGGCATGTGGCAGGTCTCCCCCCAGGCCTCCAGGAAAGCCCAGCTCGTCGGCACCTGGGTTTGACTTCTGTCTCCAGAACCAGGAGCGAGTGTGTCTGCTGTTTTAAGCCACCTGGTCTACAACGCTGTTTTAGCAGCAGGAGGATGCCCACACACTCCTAAAGCTGTTTCTGTCAGCAAGGCTAAGGAGTTGTGCTTCAGTTGGTGGGGGAGGGGAGGGGCCTTGTGCTCTGTTTCCCAAGTGGTGGCAGCGGGACCAAACAGACACTCCACAGCACAGGCATCAGAATGCCAGAGCTAGGGGAGTCAGGGGCCACAGCTGGAGTGCAGCCCATTGGGATTCGCTGAGCTATGACTCCATGAGTGCTTGGAGAGATTTCAAGTGGGTGATAGTCCCTGAATAACATGGGTTTCAGAGGCAAGAGCTGACAGAGTTTAATCAGATCATCTACAGGGCTGGTGATGGTAAGCCCCGCTGTGGATAGCGTGTGCCCAGGCTTGGAGACAGGGTCCAGGTTGGGCATCTCCTGTAGGCCCTTCCAGATGAAGGATGTTTCTAGTCCTGTAGTCTGGGAGACCTCTCCAAGGTCCCCATCTCTGTGTTGTCTCCGCCCTCACAGGCGGTGCAAGGGTGAGACTATTCGGGTCAACACTCCACATGCTACCCAGTGAGAGCCCTGCAGTGGATCTGCCACATGACCATGGATGACAGTAGAGTGTATCAGGGTCTCAGAAAATGGAGCTCACCGAATCAAATTCAAGGGGCTGGGATGGCAGTCATGTTTGTAAAGGAGCGCCCCTCAGAATCACCTGGTGACCAAGGTGACTTTGCTAGGCCAGGCAAAGGGAGCTGGCTCGATGCAAAGTCAAGTACATGACCGCTGGCTACGTGGGAAGTCAAATACACCAACAACTGTCTGTATGGGAGATCAAGTACACTGACTGCTGGCTGGATGGGAGACCAAGTACACCAATGGCTGGCTAAACGGGAGGTCAAGTACACTAACAACTGGCTAGATAGAAGGTCAAGTACACTGACCACTGGCTGGATGCGAGGTCAAGTACACTAACGGCTGGCTGGATGGGAGGTCAAGTACACAGATCACTGGCTGGATGAGAGGCCAAGTACACCAGCGGCTGGCTAAATGGGAGGTCAAATACACAGACCGCTGGCTAAATGGGAGGTCAGTTACACCAACAACTGGTTAAATGGAAAGTCAAGTACACTGACTGCTGGCTGGTTGGGAGGTAAGGATGGGAGGCCAACAACTGGCTAAATGGGAGGTCAAGTATACTGACCACTGGCTGGATGAGAGGTCAAGTACACCAACTGCTGGCTGGATGGGAGGTAAGTACACTGATTGCTGGCTGGATGGGAGGTCAAGTACACCCACCACTGGCTGGTTTCACAGAGACCCTGCCCTTGTGGTTCCACCACTTCTACACTAAGGACCTCTCAGGCTTCCCTGCTGTTCTGCATTCAGAGTGTGGCCTCGTCTCTGGCTGAGATCCTTGGCCCTCTCTCTCCAGAATGAAGATCCAGGTATCTCAGGATTCCCCTGGGGACAAAGAATGAATCCAAGAACTTGACCTCTAAACACTTAGTGTCAGAGTGCTCTAGAGGGACCCATACTCCCCCGCTTCACTTCTGCCTTTCCTACTAAACTGCCAGAAACAAGGTCATTCTCCTTAAAGGGAGATCCCTATACACACTACAGGGCAGTGGTCCAAATCACTAACATATAGAGGTGGTTTTTTGATTTTTGTTTTGTTTGTTTTGTTTTGTTTTTTAGATCTGGTATCAAGATAGCGGTCTAAAGCCAGATTCTGAAATGAACTGACAATCTTGCGAGGGGCTGCTGGTAGGCTGGGCACTGTCAGATGCCATCCGTAGCGCTCTCCAAGCTTCCACTGGCCTGAATTCCACTTGTCTGTCGGGACAGCTTCTCGTTTCACTGAATGTGTCACTTGTGAACCTGATCCTTTCCCTTCCATCCTGGTCTAGCCCGCCCATCAGCAGGACTGACTTGTACTTAAAAACCAAGAATTGGCTTGTGACACAGACCTGACTCTGCATCTCATCTGACTGGAGCACAAGATGTGTGCTTAGAGGTGGGGAAGGGATGGGGGCACTGGGTGGGCATCTACCCTACAGCTGGTCCTTCAGTCTTGAGACAGACCAAAGGCCTTTGCCAATCCCACTACGTGGCCCGCTGATGGTGTGACCCATGTTGGACGTGACCTTGTGTCCACTGAGATGGTCCTTGCGCCTCCAAAGAAATAGGTCGTGGCTCCCCCTCAGCAGCACCGCTGGATCCCACGGGCTATCTCCATCCTGCAGCACCAACCTTGGACTTATCTAAGCACCACCAAGGTCATTTTCCACTTCTCACCTATGATGTGACTGGTTCTCCCAAACTAGGTATGAATTTCCTCAGGGCCAAGGATGTCGCCTACATTTCTACCTCCTCTCATCTAGTAAACATCTTGTGGACCTACAATAAGCCCAGACCAGCATAAGCTGCCAAGAAGGTCCTTGGGACAGAGGGATGACTTCTGGGGCTACTAAGGTTTTGTACAATACTCCTTTGCAGACGCAGGAGGTTGAAATGAGGCAAGGGTGAGCCCACGAGAGATAAGGGCAGCAGTGGCAGCCATGAGAGGACGGTAGAAGATGCAGCACAGGAGAGGAGAGTGGAGAGGAGGGTAGAGAGGAGGGGGCAGCCGCAGGAGAGGAGGGTGAGTGGTTCATGCCTGGCCTGCCCTGACCCAGGGAGCTGAGCTCAAGGTCACACCAGGCTTTGAGCACATGGATGTATGTGTGTGACAACATAATCGGTCCCCCCAGCACTTAAAGGACACTTCGTGCTCAGCCTACATGGATCCCACCTTGGCAGCCTTGAAGGACACAAGCCTCTGAGAGGGGAACAGGTCTTCTCCGCTAGAATCTGACCATCTTAGACTTCAGGATACGTCCTGGCCTCCTGGCATGACCTCCCCTCTCTGCAAGTAGTGACGGTGCCTCAGACACCCCTGGCTTCATTAAAGAAGCCCCGAGCCCTGGGGCACTAGGGAGCGTCCTCCCGTCAAGCTGGGCGGCGTGTGGGGCTCATGGGGAAGATGTCACGTCACTTCAGTACGTGTGGAGAAGCTCTCTGCCACCTGGATCAGCATGGGCCTGCGGGGCTACACCTGCCATGAGAGCTGCGGGCATGCAAGGGCATGGCAGCTGGCACGCACCTGGACTCTCCTGCTGTCCTGCAGGTCCTTCTTCTCCAGCTGGGCCTGCAGCCTCTTCCGCTCCTGCTCCAGCTCCCGCACCCTCTTCTGCAGCTTCAGGAAGACCGTCATGTCCATGGCTGCCTTCTCCAGGCCAACATCCTTCACAGGAGACAAGGGCAGGGACAGGGGCTCATGGCACGCACACCTCAGGGAGCACGGGCCTTGTGGCCTCACTGGTGGCCATCTGTCGCCCAGACATTAGCCTGCCTCTCAGGTACAAGGCCAATGCCAGTCAGCTAGTTCTGCTGCTCACTCAAGGCTCACTTTCCACCCAGAGCACATCTGAGTCTTTGCCATTTTATCCAACACAAGCCACTTAAAAAGGCTGAGCCTCTACTCCAAGAACAAATGGACAAAGACAGAGTCACTTTCTCTGGAAGTTAAAAGAGCTCACTTCTGGAAAATGGTCTCTTACCAAAAAGATCAAAAGGCTCGGGACCTATGCTTCCCGATGAAGTCTCAGCATGTTTACGCATGCTCGCAAATGTGGTGTCACCCCCACTTGGTTCACCTTGAACACAGCAATCCAGGCCCTGCCTCCGGGGTCATCTACCCAACAGATCCCAATGCATTCGTTTCCCAGAAGATGTTTTCCTTTCAGGCTCAGGTCTGGGTTTACCCTCCAGGGCTCTGAACACATAAGGATGTGTGTACAAACACTTGTCCTGACAGCAGACGGGCAGTGTGTAAGAGCACATCCAAACAGGCTTTGAGCACACGGATGTATGTGTGTGACAATATAATTGGTCCCCCCAGCACTTAAAGGACACTTCGTGCTCAGCCTACACAGACCCCACCTTGGCAGCCTTGAAGGACACAAGCCCTGTGATGACAGCGCGATGCCCGCGTGTAAGCAGTCACGTGCACAAACACAAATGATGCGCCTGGAAGCCTCCAGGGACCTCGACTTGGGGATGGCAGTGGACAGCTGACGGTGACAGCTGACGGTCTTGAGCAGGCATACACTAGAGGCTTCCTAAGCTCACACAGAAGTGCACGGCAGTCAGGAGACGTGTCCCAGGACCACCCACAGCCCTCTGTCCCCTCACTCTCATCACCGGTCACCCTCTCCCCACCCCCACCCTCTCATCACCAGTCACTCTCTCTCCCTCCACCCCCACTCGCATTGTCAGTTATCCTCTCCCCCACAACCCCTCACTCTCATCAGTCACCCTCTCCCCCCACCCTATGTCCCCTCACTCTGATCACCAGTCATCCTCTCCCTTTCTCTCATTAATAGTCACCCCTCCTCCACTCTCATCGCCAGTCATGCCCTCCCCCCACCGCCCCCCTCCATCTCAATGCCCATCTCCCTCTTCCCCCACTCCCTCCCACTGCACGCTCATCGTCAAGCTTCCCTCATCTTTCCTTGCACCACCAGCACTGTCCTCTGTCACAGCACAAGCCCCTCAACTGCTCACCATCTATCTGCTTCAGTTGAGCTTTGACAGGAGGGTCCGCCTCTGGTCGGGTGACACTCTCTGGGCAGCACCTCCTGGCCGGGCCTGCACAAGGTGCGTGCTGCACGTATTCGTGTTTGCAACGGTCTCTGCTTGGTGTCTATGTGCTCTATAAGGCCTCACGTGCCTGTGGCTTTCTTTTCAAAAGCCAAAGGAAAAACTGCGCATCTGTATTTCTTGGCAAAGTCATGCCTGGACCACAAAGTCCACTGCAAGGCACATGAGTGACTCTAAGAGGCTATTACTGACCAGCATCCTGTCACTCAGCATACTTCCTCTCCCAATGTTTGTTGTTCTGAGTTTTATCCAGTTTCTGAGTGGGGGGACAGTCTTGTACATTCATTATTTATTTATTTTTAGTGACAGGGTCTCACTCTCTTGCTCAGGCTGGAGTACAGTGGTATGATCACAGCTCACTACAGCCTCCAACTCCTGGGCTCAGGTGATCTTCCTGCTCAGCCTCCGAGTAGCTGGGACTACAGGTGTGCAACACCATATTCAGCTAATTTTTAAACTCTTTTGTAGAGATGGAGTCTCACTTTGTTGCCCAGGTTGGCCTCAAACTCCTGGCCTCAAGTGATCCTCCCACCTCAGCCTCCCAAAATGCTGGGATTACGGGCGTGAGCCGCAGTGTATTTACTGATATCACTATATGTCTGCCATACTAACTGGGGATGATAACTTGGATCCATTTTAATGACCTAGCTGCCCCTTCTCAAGTCATCTCGCCTTTGCATCAGCGTCTCAGTTTTGCAAGAGGATTCAGGGATAAACCTCTCCCCTCCTTTCTGAACACTGGGTTAGGTGGACAGTAGCGTGTTACTGTGCACAGTACCTGCTAACTCCAGAGAACGGTCTCCAAAGCCACAGTAGCCTGTGACCCTGCTTTCAGGAATCAGCCCCTGGGCACACTGGTCACACCCCAGAAGGGTGACTCCCGGGCAGCTCTGCACAGGGAACAAACACGCCCTCTGGAGGACACAGCCAAGAGCCGGCCTTACTCACCTCCACCTGCTGCAGAGCGTCCTCGGTGTCTCCAATCTCAGAGGTGGATATGGACGGGTAATTGGAGTCCGATTCTAAGCTGCTTTGGTTTGATGGGTTCCGCCTGTGGCCTGGGGCTTGCTGTTCAAGGAGAAAACTGTGAGAACTCATAATGGGATAACATTCTTAAGAACTTCCTTTCCACAGGGTGGTGGGCCCTGGCCCTGACCTCCTGCCTGGTGTGTCAGCAAGAACACGTATTACTACCTCTCAGAAAGACGGCCACACAGAGCTTGCCTGCCAACACTTCATCCACAGTGCTCATAGTCAGGCATGGCAGCTAGAAGGCAACACGGCTCCAAAGACAGGATCGTGTGCCCTAGTCTCTGAATGAAAGGTGAATCCATGACCCTTAGGCCAGATTCCCTGAAGAGTCCAGGGGAGATCACCTTTCACTCCTGGTCCTGCCTTCCAAATGCACAAAGGCAGTCACGTTACCTGTTTCCCTCTCCTGAAAAGAATGTTGCAAACCTGCCCCAAACAGTCCCTCCCCCTTCAACGGGCATGCCGTCAATTTTATGAAAATAGTGACATATGAGAAATATAGTTTTCCACTTATACTGTTCATTTAAAAATATCTCCCCTTTTTTTGCATCAGATTGGCTTTCAGAAAGAAAACTGAGCATGGTAGGAAAATTTCAGATGTCTATATATGTTCCTACTCAGCCTTTCTTCCTGGTTTCTATGCAATTAACTTATTCTGTCTTGTTTGAATACATATTTCTGGAAGAAATGTTTATAAAGAGTAAGATGAGTCCTGAAATATCATGAAATTATTTCTACATATACCACATTTCATCAGAGATTAGGAGACCCGACGGGCCCTTGAGGGCCTCTGCCACACACACCCAGGAAGCTGAGCTCATGACTGCACACACCATTATCTTCCAGTACAGGAACCTCCCCAGCACAAGACAAGGAACGACAGCACACACAAGCGGGTGGAACTGTCCGAACTCGTGGCTGAGATCTAAGACCCCAAAGTTGCGAGAGGAGGTGCCTCAGGAATGAGTCTCCCAGCCCAGCCACTTCCTTGCATGGTTCCCGTGCTCTGCAGGGACGGCAGGAACAGAGGCAGGAAGGCAGCACCGCACGCGCGTGTGTCCTGGGCAGCGCCGCACAGTGGGACCGCCCTCCTTGCCTTCACAATGGTCATCTCGTCCTGCAGGTTGTCGTATCTCTGCTCCAGCCGTGAATACTCCTTCACAAGGTTCTGGTACCGGGACCGCTCCTCCTCCAGCTCTTTCCTCATCAGGAGGTTTTCCTTCACAGAGTTCTGAGCAAACTCATCTGGAAGGAAGCACACTGAGCTGCCATTTTCTGGGTGGCTCCCCTCGAAAGTATGGACTCGCTTTCTGACTAATCTCTTGCTAAAAGGCTGCCCGCAACAAGCTTATCCCAGAGGCCCTGGATGAATCTGTGGGGCTCTTCACTTGCTGTGAGGCCAGTGGGATGCTAGTGTCTCCGCCCTGGTCTCTGGAGATGGGAGGAAGACAGACCCTGCTCACGGGGAAGGGGCAGAGAAGTCGCCAGCGCACGTGAGACTCCCTCGGTCAACGCACCAGCCCCTCCTCTGCCAGCCACCCCAGCACCTGCTGGCAGCGCTCCTGGAAAAGCCAGGAGTAGTCCACAGTTTCCCTCCTAGCCCTGATCTTTCAGGTGCTTGGAGCACAGGGAAATTAAAGAAATTAGGCCCAAGGTTAGGCTGGGGGCAGGAGAGAAGACAAATAGCACGGGTGGCTTCTCTCCTGCCATGACTTATTACTCGTACTAATAGACAGAAAATCATCAGAGAAATGCACATTAAAACCACGCTGCGATGCTGTCCTACACCAATAAGAATGGCTATTCCTAAAAAGTCAAAACAACAGAATGTTGGCAAGGATGCGGAGGAAAGAGAATGCTCATACACTGTTGGTGGGAATGTAGACCAGCTTAACCTCTCTGGAAAGCAGTATGGAGATATCTCAAGGAACTAAGAATAGAACTACCATTTGACCCAGCAATCCAACTGGCTGGGTATCTACCCACATGAAAGGAAACCATTAAATAAAGAAGACACCTATACATGCACATTTATCGCAGCACTATTCACAATAGCAAAGTCATGGAACCAACCTAAGTGTCTACCAACGGTTGACTAAAGAAATGTGATCATATGTACCATGGAATCCTTTACAGCCATAAAGAAGAATAAAATCATGTCTTTTGCAGCATCATGGATGGAACTGGAGGCCACTATCCTACGTGAACTAACACAGAAGCAGAAAATCAGACACCACATGTTCTCACTTATATGTGGGAATGAAACACTAGGTACACATGGGCATAGAGATGGAAATAACAGACACTGGGGGCTCCAAAAGTGGGAAGGGGGAGGAGGTGAGTGTTGCCAGATCACCTGTTGTATACAATGTTCAATAAGCCCATTCTCCACCACTATGCAATATAGCCAATGTAACAAGGATGCATATGTACCCCCAGTCTAAAATAAAATGAAGATAAACTTAAAAACAGCTTATGTTTTCAACAAGACATGATGCTGGCTGGGACCGGGGGGTCATGTGGTTCAGTTCTCTCTTGATACAGGTGAGGAACCTGAGAATGGGAGAGGGGTTTGCTCAAGGCCACGTGGAGCTGGGGCAGGGACTGGGGGCTGTGGACTCCCCACCCCTGCTCTTCCACAACAGATGCTGAAAAGTAGCGAGCAGCACACACAGGAACTGACAGCAACCCCAGAGCTGGTGGGTGCTTCAGAGAGGCTGACCTGGGATGTGATTCAAGACCCTCTCTTCTGCAAACATTAGCGAAGGCCCACTGGGTGGAAGAGACCATGTCAGGTACCCCGGACGCAAAAGCTAAATGTACAAACCAGCCACAGTAACAGCTTCCAAGTGCTCACACCCTCCTAAGAACCTCACCTGCATGACCCACTGAGGGCTGCACCTTATGTCTGTTTTGCAGATGAAGAAGCCAAGGACTTGCTCAAGGCCACACAGCAGCACACAGTAGAGTCATGCTTTGGGTATAGGTCTCCCTGACCCCAAGTTCCATGCGTAACACTGTCCGTGCTAAGTATGTGTCATTTCATTAAACTTCGGAACCCAAATGTCACAGCAGGATCTTGAAAATCACGATTCTTTCTTTAGCTCCCTCTATGAAAGTCCTTTCCCCACAGCAGCCTCTTGAGCAAGCTTGTCAGGGATCTTTGGGGAAAATCAGTGAGGAAAAGAGACCAGATCCCACACAAAACTCAGATGCTTTGGTACGTACCTTTAGCCTGGCTCAGGATTTGGTTGTTAAGCTGTTCTTTCTCATCTTTTAGGAGAGCATTTTCCTGTTCCAGGTCTGCAACACGCTGAAAGAGACAGCAACGGGAATGATGTTCTGGGACACTAGCAAAGGAAAGGCTCCTTTCGTGGCATTTGAATTTTAACTGGTTATGTGAAAATGTCCTTTTTGTTGAAGACAACTGAACTGGCCAAAGCGCCTTTCACATTTGGAAGAAAAAACTGTACACGGGAAGAAATATCCCATGAAACCAAAACAGGCTAGCTTAGCACTGTTTATGGTCATTGAATGCCCATAAAAATGCCATGAAAAGGCTACAGCAAGCTCACATGCTTTGCTGAGGAACTTGCAAAGATAACAGGCTTTCATGTTTTGTGTTTGCCTGTCTTGCTAAATTTTCAGCTCTCAAACCCGAGTCTTCAGAGAGCCAAAAGCTAACAATGAACACAGGATGCCTAGTCTTCATCTAATGTGCTTTCCCTGTCTTACTGGACCATCATAGTCTAAATTCTGGGAAGGGGAAAGAGATTTGCTATTGACTATTGATATTCAGCAGTCAATCTAGCACTGGGCTTCTGATTCACTGCCAGAATGAGGTGAATATTACAAAAAAAGGGGAGAAAAGGATAAGAACACATAGCCTGTTCAAAGAGGAAGCAGGATTGAAACAATGTGAGACAAATCCCTAAAAAATAATTTTTTTGCTATTTATTATAGCAAAATGTTTGCATAGCTTTTTTAAAAAAGTAACAATTCAGATGCCTTCTAAGAGAATGTGAAATTGTCAGTGGGGATAAAGGAGGATGGGATATGGTATGTATTTCTTTTATAATATGAGGGCTAAATTGCATGGATACACCCTTATGCCTGGAACCCCTGGAGATACATGCTGCCTTCTGCAGGAGACCATCAGGTAATTTTCCCCACTAAAACCACATCCACAGTTTTGTGACACAGATAAGGAAGAAGCACCTGAGCACTGCAAAAGCCAGGTAGGGAGCGACTGAGAAACATGTGCCAGGGCCCCAGATTTGAGCCCTCACTTCCTTGAGGGGCACTGAACCAGCACCAATCACTGCAGAATGGACTCTTGTGATCACATCCTAAAGTGTGGAACCTGGCAAAGACAAGCTTCGCAAGCTCACAGATCCCGGGCTCTGTGAGTCTCAGTTTCCCCCTCTGTAAAACGGACACCCACCTTACAGGGCTGTTTTGACCTTAAACAAGATGAAGTACATGGAGTACCCAGCAGCAGGCACGCATGTGGTGGGTGATTGGTCCACGTATGTAGATGGGCCTCACTGCTTTTGCTAGGCACTACACAGAAACACAGACTTTAAAATCATTCTGCCACTGACCAAAAATTTAAAGAAGAATTAATTTTCACAAATTCTTCCAAAAACAGAAGAGGAACACTTCTCAATTCATTCTCTGAGGCTAGTGTTACCCTGATACCCACATCACACAGTCATCACAAGGAACAAAACGACAGATAAGTGTCCCTTCAGAATATAGATTCAAAGACCCTCAACCAAATACTAACGTATTCATGACAAAAACACTCAACAAACTAGAAACAGAAGTGAACTTCCTCAACATGATAAAGGGCATCTTAAAAAACCCATAGTGCTTCATGGTGAAAGACAGTGCTTCTTTCCTAAAAACAGAAAGAGGACAAGGAGGTCCACTCAGGCCGCTTCCACGCAGCACTGTACTGAAGGTTTCAGCCAGGGCAACTGTAAAAGAAAAATGAATGCCTCCAGAATGGAAATTCCAGAAATGCATCTCTATCTGCCGAGATCGTGTATGTAGAAAATCCTACAACATCCTCTTAACAACTCAATAAATGAGTTCAGGTTGTAGGAATCAAGACCAATACACAAAACTCAATAGTATTTTGATACATTTGCAATGAACACTCTGAAAAAGAAATTAAGAAAACGATTCCATTATGATAGCATTAAAGAGAATAAAGTATTTAGGAAAAGTTTTAACAAGAGGAGTGTAAATTTACACTCTGAAAACTAAAAATATTGTTGAAAAAAATTAAAGGTAACCTTAATAAATAGAAACTTCCTGAGGTAATGGATCAAAAGACTTAATATTGTGAGGATGGCGACATGTTCAAGTTGATCTTCAGTTTCAGTGCTGTCCGCAACAAGATTTCTCCAAATAAGATATACAAGAGGCCAATAAGCACAGAAAAGATGCTCAACATCATCAGTTATTAGGGAAATACAGATCAGAACCCCCAGCGAGATTCCACCTCACACCCACCAGGACGACCACAATACAGACAGACAATAACAGGTGCTGGTGAGGATGTGGAGATGTCAGAACCCTCATACCTGCTGGTGGAAATGTAAAATGGTGCAGCAGCTTTGAGAAACACTCTAGCCGTTTCTCAAAAGGTTGAACATACAGCCCAAGTGGCCCACTCCTAGGTATATACCCAAGATGTTTGCAGTAGCATGATTCATAATAGCCATAAAGTGGAAACAACACAAATGTCCATCAACAAATGAACTGACAAAGAAAGTATACCTGCACTGTGAAATATCACTTAGCAATAAAAAGAAGGATGCACTGATCCATGCTATGACGTGTATGGCTCTTGAACGTGAAAGAAGCCAGTTACAAAAGGCCCCATATTACATGATTCCACTTGTACGAAATGTCTAGAACAGGCAGCTCTAAAGGCAGAAAGTGGATTAGTGGCTGCCTGGGTGGGAAAATGGGGGAAATGGGGTGTGTCTGCTACTGGGAACGGAACTCTTTTTTGTGGGGATGAAAATATTCTAAAATCAGACTATAGTGATGGTTGCAAAACTGTGAATATTTTAAAAACCAAAGAACAGTACATTTTTATTTTTATTTTTATTTTTTTGAGTTGGAGTCTCACTCTGTCGCCCAGACTGGAGTGCAGTGGCCGCTCCCGGCCACCGCAGCCTCGACCTGCTGGGCTCCGGCGATCCTTCCGCCTCAGCCTTCCGAGTAGCCGGAATTACAGGCGCGCGCTACCACGCCCGGCTGATTTTTTGATTTATTGTAGAGATGAGGTCTCACCTGCCCAGGCGGGTCTCGAACCCGCGGACTCAGGCAATGCACTCACCTCAGCCTCCCAAAGGCGCGGGATGACAGGCTGAGCCACCGAGCCCGGCTAGAACAGTACATTTTAAACAAGGGAACTAAACGGTATGCGAATTATATTCAATAACGCTGTCAACGAAATCACTCCACAAACCAACCAGCCTGTCATTAACAAGCACAGCACACTGTTGGGTGTGATAAAAGAAATGTGAGTAGGCAGAGAGGCTCCAGGCTGGGTCTGAGCAACCGGCTTCTCCACACATAACCGGCAAGACCGGGCTGCTTGACCTAAGGAGTGACCTAAGCCACCCTGGCCCAAGCCAGTGACGCAGCCGTCTTTTGGGGCAGTCTCCCCAGCCAGGGGAGAAAGAGCCCCAAGGACGGCAGCCTCAGGCCAACAACACAACACACCATAGCCAGCCTGGCAGCAGAGGGACTGGACACTGACTCCCGGGGTTGCAGCCTGGGAGACGACTGTGTGGAGAGGGGAGAGGTGACCACACTGACCTGGAGGACCCTCACGCCCCCATGCGAGAAGTACTTCAGACTCTGCTGGACCCTGTGGCAGCAAAACCAAGGAAGGGGCCCCAGGAGCCTTTGTGAGGTGTGCGTTCCAGCTGGCTCTGGCTCAGCGCCCACCTCCCTTCCTCTCCGGGCTTTACCATTAAGCTCGGGGCACCAAGAGGCGAGTGAAGACAGCGGCTGCCCCACCCTAAGCACTGCATGGAAAGGGGTGGCAGGTGCAGGTCCAGGGGGGCCTGGGGATGATCGGGACCAACTCTGAAAGAGACACACAGATGCAGAGCTGAGGCCGGCGGTCCTCTGCTCATGCTGGTGGTGCTGCATGGAGGTGGGAGTCTATGGAATCACAGTCTGTCCTGGCATCCTCTCTCCGTGGATTTGAAGTTGCTTTCCCGACATCCAGAACACGGAGACCCTCTCTCCTTAGATGCCCAGCCTGCTGCAACCCCTGCCGATGGCCAGGCTCTAAGGCACGGGCCACGTGCTTTCCCCGTGGCCTGTAGAGTTGGGAGAGCAGCAGTGTCCCAAGTCCGTAGGGGGCTCTCAGGGGCCCTGTGGGACTTTCCTGGTCAGAACGGCTGTCCTGGGAGTGGATCAGGAACTCTGTGCCCTGACGTTCAGGAAAGCAGGGCAAACCCAGGAAGTTTGACTCCAAGGGGCAGGAAGTAAGCCCACCCCACAGAGGGGGTGAGTCGGACTGAAACGCTTAAATCCGAGGTAAACACCCCAAAGCCTGACGCTTTACCACAGGCAGGGCCACCTAGAGGCGCCCCATGCCTGCAGGCAATGCCACGAGCTGCCACGGCCTCTGCCATGGCCCTCCTGTCAAGAGAGTCGCCTGGGACCAACTCCTGACCATAAGAGAGATGCTCGCCGGCAGACACTCTGCCCTTAACCAGGCGCCAGCGTCCAGTCAACAGCAGAAACGCCATCAACACTTGTCAAAGGAGTGGACACAGTGTGTGGGCTCCCCACGTCCAGAGAGAGGGCCAGTCTGTGGGCACAAGCCCTGGTAAGGTCCACGGCAACTTCACAGCTTAAGGCAAGGTGGTCTTGGGGGGTGCTGCCCGCCCACACCTACCTTTCTCAGCTCGTCCTTCTCCCTGCTGTGGGCATCCTCCAGGACCCTGCGCTCCGAGTGGGCCCTCCGCAGCTGGGTGCGCAGGCTGTCCACCTCCTCCTGCAGCCCCGGGCCGGTGTCCTCGCGGCTCTGCTGGGAACGTGCCAGCTCCTTCTTCAGCCGCTCCACCTCTACGGCATGTGCGGACGAGGACGTGGACAGCTGCTCCGACAGCGTCTTGAGCTCTTTGTTCTGTGGTAACATTGGCAGATAGGGAGCGGGGAGGGAGATGGAGAGGGAGGGTTATTCGACTGGGAACAGGCACGAAGGCAACCACAAATGAACTTCCAAGGCAGGATGAAACTCACATCGCTACGTGCACAAGTGCTCTCCTGGCATCATCCTAACAGAACCATTGAGAATCCCGAGAAATGGAGGAAAATGAGTCCAGCAAGCCCAACACTGAATCGCCCAGGAGCCACCGTGAGCAGGAGCAGAGTTGGACTGCGTGGTCAGCGTCCACACTGGCCAGCAGACCCCAGTCTGGTCTTGGAGCTGCAGGAACAACACTCCAGGCCCTGGACCTGCAGCCTGCGCCTTGGGATTTCCTGCTCTACCGCACGGAGCCCTCCTGCCAGGGGCTTGTGGGCACAAAGAACTGCAACCTAATCACTAGCTCTGAGACAAAGGACCCCTTCTGCCTCCCCGCTTCTGAGGAGGCCCTCTCCCACCTGCCAGCCGCTGCTCCGTCTAAGACTCTGACTCTGGGAACTGACGCCCCGGTGGCTCCACGCACGCCACACCCCTGCAGACAGGGTGCCAGGTCACCAGACCACCCTC